CGGTTTAGCAAGAGTCGCCACCGACTTTTTATTTTATCCTAAGGAAAGGTCAAAAAGCACAAGAAAGACCTTTGAGATGTTTTCTTGGGTTCGGGGAGTAGATTATAGAAAGGGAAGATATTAGCACCCTTTCTATCCATGGTTATCCATGGGCTCTTAGTTACTTGCTTAGATCACTTGCTTTGTATTTCTATTGTTTGAAATGGTGCTTTTCAATTGTTTGAAATGGTGCTTTGTGTGTGATTTTGGAAAATGTTTTGAAAAGAGGCCATCGTTGTGGCAACCTTTGTAATGATTCTTGTTTGAATGTATACAAAGGTGTTTTTGTCTTTTGAAAGGTTTTCAATGTTTGAAAGTAGGGTTTTGAAATTGTGTTGTGGAGTGTGTTTTGAAAAGTAGCAAGGATGTTTTTGCAAGCTTGATCAAGTAACTAAGAGCTATCTACCCTATTTTACTCAAAGATCTTTCTTATATTCTTAACCCTTTTAACAGTGTTGCTTCACCATTGTATTTGATGAACAACCTTGTGTTAGGATGTTTAACGGGACAAGCGCGGGTCATCGTATAGACCATGATAGCAATTGTGTCAAGTATCTTTGGCAATTTTCTTGAGGGACTTGATCATTTTGTTTAGGCAACTCAGATAGCGTCATCGAGGGACTATAATCTTTTTGTTTGTTTTTGTTTTGCCAAAGTACTCAACATGCAACCATGGCCCATTTTTGAAGGCAACAAGTGGATGAAACCCTAGGGGTGCAAGTGTGTATTGTGTTTGTTTTTCATGCATGTTATCTTGGATTAGGTCAAACTAATTGTTGATTTTATTTGCATACAAACCCTAAGTCTAAGCATGGCATAATTGAAAGCTTTTAAATGTACGAGAATTTAAATGCTACACTATTACAACATGATATAGGGAGGGGGTACAAATTTGAATTGGGAGTATTTGACAAGAAAATAAATTCTAAGTTATTACAACCATATCGAATGTACAAGATACAATTTTAAATGTACAATAATTGAAACAAATACAATAAATAAATGTAAATAAAATGTATTATGCCAAAATGTTTTTAGTATGTAAAAAGTAATTTTTCAATGTGAAAAGTAAAATAAAGAAGATGAATTTTAATTATTTTTCCTATTTAGGGCAAGAAACCCTAATTCTTAATAAGTAAAAAATTATTTATTAATTATGTGCAATAATATACTAATTTATAAAAAAATAAAAGTATATTGTAAAAATGACATTTTTGGTCCAAAATAATAATAAAAATGAAAATGTAACATTTTTTGTATTTTTGACCTAATTACCTAATAAGATAAAATATATAAGTATATTTATACATTAAATATATTAAATGTGAAAAAAAATTGAAATAAATTATTTACAAAAATGTATATATTTCAAGAAAATATTTTCAAATGTGTATAAAAATAAAAATGAAAATAAACATATTTTTTACATTATTTTTAGATTTAAACAAAACAACATAAAGTATTTAAACATTTTTATGGTGGAAATAAATAAAATAAATACCAAATAAATGAAAAAAAATATAAAAATATTTTTGGATCATTTTTTATATTTGAAAATAAAATATCAAAGTCAGAAAAGAAAATAAAAATGCAAAAATATTAAAATATAAGAAAATGGGCCAGGGGGTGTGAAACTGAAAATGGGGGGTGCCAAAAGTAGGAAGTAGCCAGGCCCAGCTCAGCTACTTCATCTTCTTCCTCTGTCCAACAGAATTTGAAAAAACGCGCGCTAGCTACCCCAACCTGTATCTCTTGATTCTTTGATCTTTTGACAAAACTCAAAACATAAAACTTGTAGAGCATCAAATAACGAATCTAACCATATAAAAAACTTGGATTAACTCTCAAAGACCAGAGAGAATTTCTCTGGCCCTAATTTTTAACCTAGTTTTTTCAGAAAGTTCATGAGTGAAATTCTCTCAACACGATTAATGTAAATGAAAACTAAGCATATGTATGGCTTCAGGGCTATGAGTACAACATATTTTATTCACAAACCTAAGCCTAACCATTCCTAGATAGGGAGATAGAAGTCCATGAAATACCTGTTTCAGTTGACTTCGAGCTGGACAATATAGCAACCTTCAATGGTATTTGAGCTTCTGTTGAGCTTGCCTGAGGTCCAAGGAAGCTTCTCCAATGCTTGGCTTGCTTTGAAACAACTTGAATCGTGCTGTAGAACTCAACCTGCAGAGCTTTGAAATGAAAATGGAAAAGTGAGTTAGAGGTGTTACAGCTTGCAATGGGGGTCTGGGAAAGTTCAGGTGAGTTGATTGGAAGGTGTAAGAACTATCTTGGGACAAAACGCACGATGGAATTTTGTTGTGGCTTACAAAATGCAGAACCTGCCCTGTTTTACAGAAAAACAGTGGTTCTGAGTACCAGGGGGTATGAGTGATGAAAGGGTCGTGCTTTAGGCTTGTTAGGAGGTATGGAACTTGTTCACAAAGTTCTTCTAAGCTTGTGTTAACAGATATGAGAGCTTGCTTATGTTTTGCCACTTTTCTTCTACTTGAAGCAAGGGAATGAAAATGATGTTATAGCCCTGTATCAGCCCTCCTATCATGCTGCAACTTTTGTTCTTGGTTACTGGAATTAGTGGACTTGATCTTGCCTCAAAGATCTGGCCCCCATGCTTCAAGGATTTGGTTTTGACATAAAGTGAAATTAGGCAAAAATGGCAATTTGCCTTTTTCTACTTAAGGCTTAATCTTGTGTATAATGTCCAAGTGAACAAAACAAAGGCTTAGACTGATGGATTGGCATTAAATTATGGAGTGCAAATTGGTTTTGAGACCTGTAATGTTGAACCAAGCTAGCTAGATCAGAATTGCAAGTTGTTATGAACATGTATTGGCCATGGACAAAAGTGAGTTTTTGTCAACTTCAAGCATTCGATTCTCTCTAACCACAAGGGTGTTTGAGGAGTTCTTGGACAATTTGGAAAGCTTGGAACATGTAATACAATCCCTCTTTGTAATGCAACTTGAAACTCCAAATGGAACTATGTGAAAAATGGCCAAGAAGATGGGTCAAAATCCTGCCTAAATTAGGGCAAATTTTCTCTAAGTTAAAAAGTTTTAGGTACCCTTGTTTCAAAAATCATAACTTGAGATACAAGCTTATTTTGAGAAAACTTTGTGAATAAAAGTTGTATACTTTGTGATGGACTACAACTTTCATGTTGCAAGTTTTGTTTGAATATATTTGTATCTTGGTGAAAAAGTGGGACAAAGTTAGGAAAAAATAAGAAAATTTCATAACTTAGAAGATTTCTAAGTTATGAAATTTTTTCATTTTAAATCCTAATTTGCATTTTTGGGTTTCTTGATGAACAAGTTTCATAATTTGACATGTCTTGATGAAAAATGACCCTTGGCACTTGATTTTGACCAAAAGTCAAAGTTTGACTTTTCAGTATACAGTCAAATTTTGATCAGTTGACTGAAAAATTCATCTGTCCATCCTATGCATTTGAGATCTTTTGAACTTGTTAAATGGGTCAAGACAATGTCATTGAGTCCTTGAGTCCATGGTTGAGCTTGGTTTGCCGTTGTCTAGGTTAAACAGTCAAAAATTGTCTTTGTACAGTCAAAATCCTAAAAATGACCATTTTGCCCTTTTGGTGATCTGATTAAATTTCTTGTGGAATTGTGATCCAAACTTGATCAAATGGTTCATATGAGTTCATAATATTGATGTGGGTCAAATTTCATGAGATTTGACTGTTAATTGGCCACAATTGACTTTTCCCCCAATATAGCTGATTTCTAGGTCAGCTGTCTAATTGACTGGGTAAAGATTTGAATCAAGGCTTGAAACTTGGTATGGGCAAACTTGTGAACCCAACATGAAGCATGAAAGTCAATTTGGATATTATAGGTCAAAATATCCTTGTGCAAACTCAAACCCTAATTTGGGTTAATAGTGTAAGGAGAGGTCTTGAGCAGAGCAAACTCTGGCTTGATCCTGAATTCCAGGAGTCTTGTGATGAGAAAGTGTTGATGAAATGAGAGGGCAAATTTTGGGGTACAACACCCCCAAACTCAAAATTTATCAAAATCTTTCTTGTTTTTTTCCCTCTTTCCTTATTAGATAAAAGAAAAATCGGTGGCGACTCTAGCTATTCGCACATTTAGATAAAACCAAAAAATCAATTCTCCCACTGTATTACAATATGTATGACAGATCATATACTTTATCTTAGACACATTTTAATCTGTTTGAACTGTATTTTTTTTAAAATATTATTATTTTTCCATAATCAATTTGTTAAAATACTTACCGTGATTTATGTTCTTTTTTATAATTATGTTATAACATTTTTTCCTTCCTCCTATCAGATATACATTGATTTGTAGTGAAATAATTTCTTTGCATTGGAACAAGAGAAGAAAGAGTTATGGCATGAACTAAAAGACTGAATAAGAGAGATTAAGAGGTTGTTATTTGTGTTAAAGGACATACAAATATTTATTACATTATTTGTAATGACATTTCTATCACGTGGTTTAAGATATTAATAAATTTTATAGTAAAATGAGGTTTGAACAAAACTTTGGAACCTTCGTACTATTTCAAAGCATGTTCACTCGGCGTAACAAATTTTGAAAGATAAGTTATCAACAAAAAAGGAAACTTCTTCATAAAACGGAACTAGTCTCTCAACACATCACATAGTATATAATGTGGAATAATAATACAGACAGTAAAACCTACAAACATATATAGAAAATCCCTCATGAAGGGCTTATACAAGGTCCAATAAGCCCACACATAACATAGGGTTTCACAGTAGGACTACCACCGTAGTATTTCAGATAATTTCTTCTCAACCTGTCTTGCATTTCTCAAAACACGCAATATGTCTAGATTGTAATCTGAACAGATAGCATGTATGATAAACGCGGGAGTAAGAAGAATCATTATTTATTCCTCGGCCCACAGGCTAAGAAGGTCGACTAGATTGCTGCGGCAGTAGTGGTTGGTAAATAAGCACGACAGTTATCAAAACCATACCAAATACCATTAGGAATGAAAGTGTTGTAGTAGAAAGTAGCAGGTGGGTAGTTAAAGGTAGATACTGTGACACTCTCCGGTTTCCAACCATCGTATCCTGTTCTGTATAAGTAGAGATAGCATAATTGGTACGTACATGGTCCGTTCACATGAAATGTGTCTGTAGAGCACCTCTCAAACGTCCTTGAACTAGGATCATCCAATCTTGGAACATAAACCTGATTCATTACCAATTAACCAACATATTATTTTTTGGAATAGGACTGAAAATAAATCGAATAAATTCGAAAATAGTTTGAAACTCGATTCAATAAATCAATTAAATTGAATTTGAGCTCAAACCTAAGCTCCTAAAATAAATTAGTTCAACTTGAGCTATGTATAGTGTTCTTGCTAAACACTAAATGAGTGACTTCCCGACTAGTTGAAGGATATCGGGGAGAGCCTCAAGCAAGTGGGAGTGAATTGTTTATGATATTAAGGGATTCGGAGGATCACACAAGTACGCGTGAGCTCCAAGTGATGTGTCTCACTTACCCCTCAGTCGGGAGCCCTATATATAAAGGTATATGGACTTCATTGATCATTGCATATAATTGTTGTGACTCTCCATCACACGTAACTGAGTTGCCATTAAGGCAAGAAACGTCCGTCGTTGCCAATGATGGATGTTATCATAACGCGCGCCACCATGTATTGATGAGCGGTTACACTCTTAATGGGCCGATCACTCTATAACGGCCTCATCAAGGCCGGGCTCTATGTAACCTCAGGATCTAGGGATAAGCCTGGTTAGCGCCTCTTCATCTTTTTCGATGGCCGGCCACATATGCCTCCGGGCTCCGGCTATACAACCTGGCTCAGGTATTATGATCTCAAACCGAGGTATTACCCGGCTAAGCATTTATTTGTCCTCCTTGGCCTTTTATCCATGTCTTGCCTTTTTATCTCTCCTAACCCGGTCAATGGATCTATGTATGAATATATAGTTTAACACATTTGATTCATGAATCGGTTCGACTTTGACTTAAGAGTAAGAATAAATATGTTCAAAGATGATGTTGAACACAATAGTTTAAGTTACAAATGTCATTTTAAAACAAAACAATCCACATTTAAAATTTAATGGTCTATTTGATTTGAGCTAGCCGGACGGAGTTCGAGCTATCGAGTTGATTCAATTTTTATTTATCTTTAGGTCCATTTGATTCGAGTTAGCCCGATCAAATTTGAACTATTGAACTAGATTGATTTCCACGAGCCAAGCTTAGACCGAAAAAATTTGAGTTGATCCAGTTCCAAACCACTTTGAAGTCAACTCGGGTAGTTAGAAGTTAAAATGAAACATTTAAAAGAATAATGGAAAATATGATTGGCAGAAATGGAACCTGATATCCATAAGCATCGCCGAATGAAAGACTGATTCGATCTCTGGTATAAGATGGAGATTTACAGCTTGTCTTTATAGTGACAGTGTAAGCACAAGTGCTAGCACCGACAGCATTCTGCAACATGCATATTCAATTCATTTCAGATTTTACAATAACAAGATCTGAAAACGCTTCAGTACAAATTAAAGACTAAAAAAACTAGTACCTGAATTTGAATTTGGTTAGGTTGAGGTTGATCAGAAGCAGTGACTATCGGCGTTGGTTCTGAGAAGGCAGCGATTATGCAAAATGAGAAGAAGAGGATTGAAGTAAGAGGTTTCATGGTTAGGGTTCTAGAGCACTGGTTTCGCCACGACAAAGGGAGCGGTGGGTAGGTAGCTAGGGTCAATTTTTGAGTCTTACCGTTTCTCAATTTCCTTGTTATAAAGGTGATTAGATTAATGCTTAAGCTTGATTTATTGTTCGGCTTTGTCATTCACATTCACTTTCAACTAATTAACTTTGATTCAAGTAAATTAAATATAGAATAATTTAAGGTCATACAGATCACGACAACGTATGTATAGAAACAAAAAATAGAAAATTTGAGTTATGTCTTTTATGAATTAGATGTATCTATGGCAAATAAATCCGTCTTGGCTAGTCTCTCGCCGCCACCGTCTGAAATTAATGGAAAAAAATCCAATTCAAACAGATGCGGAGGCGAGAAAAATTCAATTTTAACTTATGGAAGCAGAGACACCAATGCTAATACCCGCTCGCACTCATTTTCATTATGCACTCGTCAATTTAATTTAGTTTATTTTTAATAATTTTATTATTAAAATAATCAAGTATTATAATTATTTTTAAACTAATTAATTATTTAATTTAAAATAATTACTTATTTAATTTAACTATTGATTTTTATTGTTATTGAAGAAAAAAATTTAAAATACACAATTTATGTGGGTGGAGATAAGGGAGCGTGTAAGAAAACTCGTTTTTTGTTTGGAACGGGGATATAAGAACAATTATTAACTTCGACTGGATTTAGAGGCGGGAAACAATTATCAGCTCCGACCGAGTTTGGGGACGAGGTGGGTTTGGGTCTAAGAAACAGAAGTAGATATGAATATGTTTAAACTCAATCTCGTCCATCCCATTGTCATAGATCTGAATGTGCCTAAATTCGCCCCCGCTCGTTCCATTGTCATGTCTTAATGTTGTCCAACCTAACAATATTGAATTTTATGAGTTAAATTATAAATTATAGTTTTTTGAGCCATGATATTCAAACATCTTAAATCAACTGTATAAATTATTTTTTGACTTAAATACAGTTTTGGTCGTTCTTTTTTAACTTTTCTAATTTATTAGTCCCTCTTTAAATAAAAAATTAATTTTTAGGTCCCTTGTTTTTAATATTTAAAAAAAAAAAATTATTCCCCTCTCAAAATTGGCTATGTAGCATATTCATTTATGACATGGCAAAAAAAAATGTTGATCAATTTTGAAAAGTCTTATGTCAGATTATTTAAAAACATTTTAAATTAAAATTTTAAATGAAAATCTAAAAATAATAAGACTTAAATATATTTAAAATTTTAAAATTTTATTTTCTTAATTTTTTTGTGTTAATGCTTTTAATAATTAAATATTTTAATATTTTAATTAACTTTTTTTTTTTTGATAATTTATTTAGAAGTTAATCTTTACAAATTTTAAAAGATAATACATGGGCCTGTAGTCCATAATCCGTTGTACTAATAGCCCAATATAAAGATTACATTAATTATTGTATGAAAGAGCTTTATAAACACTAATATTTGTTGTTGAAAATTTGATATAGAACTTACATGTAGCAATCACTAATATCTTCTTCTTTCACTAATCTTTGTTATTGTTGTAACCATTTAAGTTGTTGGAATTTGACTCGGTTTCAGGCGGTGATTTCGATGCATATTGTAGATCTTGTAAGATACTTAAGATTGAGTCGTTCAATTCTAAAAGAAAGTGGGTGTCTGTGCTAAAAGGTCTTCTTGATGGAGGGTTTGATCTTTCTGCAAAGGTGCATCATAAATAGTGTTGAAAATGTGTGAATGACAGTATAGATGGATTTGCCAATCAAACTTTGAGAACAACGATTGATAGTAATGAAACAACGATTGATCTTCCTCAAGAGAAACCAAAGATTATGAATGACATTATAGATTGATCTTTCTCTTTGTTTGACTGTCAAAGATATAGATGAAACACAAGGAAAAAACAACATTCCTGAAAATGGATATACTCTTATAGCTATTGTGGGAATCAAGGATCAAGTGCGCCCTAGAGTTAAAGAAGCTGCTAAAAAACGTTTAGCAGTTGGAATATCTTTTTGAATGACCACTGGTGATAACATAAATACAGTTAAGGCTATAGCTAGAGAATGTGGTATACTTATTGAGAGTGGTATAGTCATAGAAGGACCTGAATTTCGCAATTTGTCTCAGGAACAAATGAAGGACATCATATCGAGAATTCATGTTTTCATCTCATTATGATTAGAGACTTTCAATTCTCTTTTTCACGTATGCTTGTCTTGCTAGTATGATTAATATGCTTGTCTTTTTTATATGCTGTTTTCAGGTAATGGCAGTTACATTGACATATTGTTTGGACATACTATTGACATGCAATGAAGAATAGTTGAAGTCTCACATTGTATATTCAACAAAAGAATTTAGTGTTTATATAACTCTTTCATATTATCTAATATGTATTCTTGAATATTGGGTTGTTTTCATAAAAGATCATGGACTATAGCACCATATATTATCTTTTAAAATTTATAATAATTAATTTCTAAATAAATTATAAAAAATTAATTAAAATTATCAAAACTTCTAATTATTAAAAGTATTAATACAAAAAATTTAAGAAAATAAAATAATAAAATTTTGGGTGAATAGTCAATGTGTCCCCTGTCATTTGGGCGAGTTTTGAAAAATCCTCCTATAAAAAAATTAGATTCTCTCCTACCATTTACATATTCTCTTGTTTTAGTCTTTCATGATACCCAATCATCAAAATCTTTGACGTGACATAGATTATGTGACTTTTTTTTAATCTTTATATTTTTTAAATGATGTGGCTTTAATTTTTTCTTTGTTATATTTTTTTATAATTGCTATGTGGATTTTCTTCATCTTTTTCATCTTCCCATCAAATCTTCAATTCAAACATTCAGAGCTTCTACTCAGCTCTTCAATTTTCATCTTTAATTCCAATTTCTAAACTCAATTTTCTTCGCTCTTTCTTCTGGGTTGTGAGAAGAACATTCATATAAAAGATTAGATTACACACGCACTTAAGAAATTTAACTCTACACACAATTTCTTCAACTATTACACCTCTTAAACTGCTGAACTCACAACTAATCAGAATTTCAGAATCCACTCTTCCAAAAATCGCAACAACCAATAAAAGTATTTCCTCGTCCAATAGTTTTACTGAAAATTGAAGAATCCCAAACATAATACGAAAACATAACAACACATATTGCATTACTAATTACCATGTAAATTCAATAAGCATTCGGAAAATCAAAATCAATAACCGTAAAAGTTTAAAACCTAGCTCCCTTAATTGATTAACCCTGCTAACAGATTTAAAAATTTCACCATCCCTACACAAAAATAAAAATATTCACAAAATGCATTTGGCAGATTTCTTCTTCAACCTGCTTGCATAACCCCTCATAAGACATAAGACCGAGCACAGTAAGATAACGAGTCATGCTCTAGGGTTGAAATAAACCTGCATCGGACCAAAAAAAGCTCTTTGAAGTGGAAATTATTGATTTCCTTTATCCCTAACTCCATTTTATCATTTTGATTGTTGATTCTTGTTTATCGCACCTCATTATATCATTTGTATGCCTTGAATCTTGCGTTTCATTTGAGTTTGTTGATTTAGGGAGGCTATGATTCGTACGATTGAAGAAGAATTTGGAAAATTTAAGTTTGAATTCGATTTCTGTGTGAAAAAGAGGGGGGATTAGTGTTGAGAGCTTTGATTTTTGAGGTGTCTAGACAGTGAACTCGCCTGATAAGACGGTGATTTCCACCATGAACCACCCTGAGCCGCCACTCACTTTGTCTTTCTCGACGTGACTTTTTTCTTTTCGGCAGACCCCTATCTGTCTCAATAGGTTCATTACAAGCATATGATAAGTTTAACTTAGAACTTATAAGTTGTTCAAGTTCATCAGTAGACTCACGAAGAAGAAGATGAAGAGAGAAGATGAAGAAGATGAAGAAAATCAACATAACATTTATAAAAAATATAACAAATAAAAAATTAAAGCCAAATCATTTAAAAAATATAAAAATTTTAAATAAAAAAAAAACTACATAATCTATGTCATGAAGGACTAAAACAAGAGAATATGTAAATGGTAGGGAAAATCTAAATTTTTTTTACAGAGGAATTTTTCAAAACTCGCTCAAATGGTAGGAGACGAACTAGCTATTAATTTTAAAATTTTTAATATTTAAATATTTTTAAGCCTTATTATTTTTAGTTTTTCATTTAAAATATTTTTAAATAACATGGCATAAGATTTTTTCAAAACTAGTCAACATTTCTTTTGCCATGTCATGAATGAACCTGTCACATTATCAAATTTGAGAGGGGACAAAAATTTCAAAAATATTAAAAACAAAAGACCTAAAACCTGATTTTTTTTAAAGGAGACTAACAAATTAGAAAAATTAAAGAACGGTGACCAAACTGCATTTAATCCTTATTTTTTTATACAAGTTTCACATTTTGCTTTGATATGAAAAAATGGAGAGAAACTATTATTAAAATAGAAACAGTATATGCAGGTGTGTGTTGGTGTTTACATATCTTCTTTTTTTTTTCTTTTTTTTTTCCACTTTAATTCGTCGGGTGGTAATTTATTAATAAGTTTAACTCATTGATCATTAATCCGAATCAGTTAGCTTGGTTGTTTCAATCAGAGATAGACTGTTGTATCACGTGTTGAGAAACTGTTTTTTGGTCCTATATGTAGCCTGCCAAACTCGTGCATAGTAAACAAACATCAAAGCATAATGAATCATGCCTCAATTTAAATTTCCATGCAATTAAAATCTATAATTTTAAAACAGTAAATTAGTACCATTAGATACTGTCAAAACATAGTTCCATGGAATGGAATATCATTATTTATCTGCATCTTATTCTATTCCACTTTAATGGCCACCATTCTCAGATGGCTTCTACAATAAGACTCCAACTAAATTCCTCATCACTGTATTGTCATTTAATTCTGCTCGTATCACTTGGTTTAGTTTTGAATTTTAGAAAGAAAAAAAGTGTTTTCAAAGAAATTTCGATTTCTGCAATGAACTTTCAAACCCGACTTACAAAAAAAAAACACATTGCACAAGGTCAAGGTAGAATAAAATCAACAATATAGATGTTACAACATAACAAAATGTTTAAAGAGAATGTTGGTGTTAATACAAGTATTTATGGGCCGAGCAAAATCCTCACCTGCACCATATTAGATGAAATATCATAACTAGAGGTTTGCCTGGCTTCGGTTACATGCCATTCTAAGTCACAAGATGCTCAACACACAACTCAAACCAATGATTCTATAATGACTGCCTCATAATTTCTCATTCAGAACTCAGTAGGAGGCTTCAACCTTATCAATCTCTTGATTCTATCTTTTTCAGTATTTTCCAAATATCCCTTCAAAAGATATACCGGGAAAATGTAAGCACAACATTAATAAGAAACTCTTCTTGCAACAACAGAACACAGGAGTACATAAGATGCAAAAAAACTAAGATCGGATAAGTGATGTCTGTGGCGAACAGAGACAAAATAGTTGCAAGTTTTGCCTAAAATTTTGCAGAGAACCCATCTAACATTAGTAGTATTGTGATTTTTAGACAGGATAAGTGATGTATGCGATGAACAGAGACAAAAAAGTTGCAAGTTTTGCCAATTTTTTTGCAGAAAACCCGTCTATCATAGTATTGTGATTTTTATTAGTAGTACTGTGATTTCTTTGCTTCAGTTCACATTTATTCTTATTAGATGGATTACCATTTCTCATGCAAAATATTTAACATCAAATAACAATATCTATAGTAACTACGTGATGACATACACTGTATGAATGTCGAGAAAGAATGTGTTTCTATGAAGTAGAATGACCGAGTAAACCAAGAAAATTTTCAAAAGTTAGTTGTGATCTTTTACTATAAACACTGTCCAGCAAATCTTCTTACCTTCCATACAATTTCATCCAAACACAAGCAAATTCTTCCATACTTATCAAGGAAACGGCGCTCAGTTGGGGGCTTCCCACATACATCCTTTACAGCTGAAGTTATTGTAAAGATCACCTCTGACACTGGAGAGAAGAAAAACATTGATAAATTAGTATTATCTATGTAAAGTTACTAAAGTTATTGACAGCTTTAACAGGCTTTGTCTAATGTGCACAAGTAACTTAGTCTTGCACTAAGCACAAGTTTGATTTCCACTATTTGATAAATAAATATCATCATATCTCATTTGATCCAATGGGGAGACTTATTGATCCAATGATGAAAACAACCTTGTGCATGGATCAAGACTTATCTCACTCGGGCACTGTAGAATTGGCCTTAAAACATACAGGTTTTTTGAAATTTCAATTGCCAATTCCACCCCTGGGTGAAATAACAGTATGCTTGAGTCACTTGGTATTATTATAAACGCTGATGCCATCAAATGTCACTATGAGCAGATAAACTTGTTTTATTTTCTTGGAAAGTCGAACAAAAGTATCTATCTACTGAGTTTAGATTCTAAGATATATTATATCCCTACTAGTTCACCTGATTGCTAGCTTTTCCACTACATTATTTAAAATATAAAGTCGTGCTTCCAACACCACATAGTATCCTTTAATTACTAGTATATCTTCTACTAATATTATAGAGAATAGGAGGGAAGCTGGGAAGGTTTCCGTCTTCTATTATCTATTAATAGTTCCTTTTTCTAGGGAGCATTTCATGCCAAATGAGAATGGTGGATTGAGGGGATACTGCAAAGAGAACATTGCAAGAATTGAAGACAATAGAAAGAAAATAAAATGGAGCAATGGTTGTGGATGACATCAGTGTTTGAAATATAGAGGCTATGATACAAAAATATTGTGCAGGGTGGACGAGATTCTTGAAAATCCAGTTGAATGTAGGGTGCTAAACACAACAGTAACAAAGAAGAATCAAACTTGGTTGATAGGCCAAGAAAATAATCAACACAGTAGAATAATTGATGTCTCAAAGATGAGATCCAAAAGTCAGAGCTGCAGTCAAGGACACAGACATTGAAGAACCAAATGACTGAGGTGAGATAAAAATAATATTCCACTGTTGAGGCAGCTACTGAGATAAAAAGACAGTAAATCTCTAGATATCAGATGTCAATATCATCGATAACATGTATGTTGGTGGACCCTGATGAAATTATATTTAAACCTCGGTGAGAGGGTTAGTTAGTTGGATTGAGATAATTAGAAAAAATGAAACACGTTGAATGTAAATAAGAGGGGTTAAGAGGGAGAGACATCTAGTTATTAAAGAGAGAATTGGGGATTGTGGGTGCTGAGTACTGATAGATGAAGGCCCAACATTCTATCTTTGTAATTGGGGTTTGTCCTTATTTCTTTCTAATCAGATACAGTGTTGTTATCAAACCTCAATCTAAGAAAGTGAGCATATCCTTTTTCAAGCATCAACAAATTAAGTGATTCATTTCTATGTTCTATGTTCTATTCTATATACCATCAGCGAGTATGAAATATTGCTGCAATTCCTTATTAAAGCATCAACACCTGAGATGAGTAACTTGTTTACTTTTATTTTACCATTTCCCATCATTATATATAAAAGATTGGTTCATAGAATTACATACAAGCAAGTTCGTCGTACTCGTCCTTCCCCACAACGTATATACTGACATCTCCAAGTATTGTGTATACAATATAAACTGACCTGATAAAGATAAGAAGTAGAAGTAAAATACAAAATCACCATGTACTAAAAGGAAAACTGTTTCATCACATATGAATGAGACATAACTTTCAAAAATAATATGAATGAACAACAATTAGAATGAATCAAACAATTTTTTTTTCCTTGAGAATCCTGTAATATCTATTCCTAATTTTGATTGGACAAGTTCACATGTGATTTGTTTAGCTTCCAATTCCATGACTCATTTCCATATTTTCTATTAAGGATTACACTGTCTGAAATATCATAGTAAACAGCAAATGCTACTCACTCTGTTCTCATCTTTTTGCATTAGAAAGCACAGAGCCACAGATGCAAACTGTGCAAAGTCTATCCCTGATGTAGTCAAGCATGAGATCTTAAGTAGGATTGGTCGGTTTGTGAAAGATCATAAAACTCGGATCATTAGCACGACACGTAAGATCCTCTTGAAAGGAAAAATGGTAATTTCATATATATTTATACACACACATACACAAAAACGTGAAAATTTATAATTTACACCCAAAACAAAGGCCCAACACTTTTTTTTACGATCTTGCTTCAAAAAGCTCGATCTTGACAACACCGGCGACGAAAACGATCTTTCTCTGATCATATCACTCTCAGGCATCCTTGGCACGTTACGATCCTACACTCCAACACTCGATCTTGACTACACTGATCATAGTCATAGTACATAATTGATAATGATTCAGATAAACACATTCAACAACCCATTTACCTTGCCACTACATTCCTAGTAACTAAAATTCAGTCCTTCCCCACATGTTCAGAATACATTCATGCAGCAAGCAACTAGAAGTTCTTCATTTTTTACATCACATATAAATTCGAGAACAGTATACTCACTTGTGGCAAGCAACTAAAAGTTCTTCATTTTTTACACCCTTAAGATTGTCCGCTCCTAGTTTGACCAAGAAAGAACGCCAGTGTAGACGCTCCTCCGCAGGAACACCATGAAAACTGCAATCATAATAAATCCACTAAGTTCTGCTAATACCATTCGGTTCAATTCAATCATGTCAGTTAGAAATTGAAGCAATTTAGCACATTACTCTTAGGTATGAATCAAACTAACACTAACCCATCCTCAATTTAGCAACTTAATATCAAAATAGGTTATCGAAATCCCTAAATATATGATATATGATCTATTAATTTCGTTAATTGCTGAAGCATTAAAGGGGTTAATCATGTACACTTATAAAAGATTTGATTTTCAAAATGTATAACAAGTGGGTTACTCTAATCCAATGAAAGATCAAGAAAAACGAATATCGAAAGTTCTAACAGCACCCAGATAAAAAAAACCGCAGAAAATTATGAACAAAACAGGAAATGAGAAAATTAGTAGGTATAATGTATAGATCAGAGAGAGAAAATGGAAATGAAAAGAGAGAGATTGAAGTTTACCGTTCGATGAGGATATTGCCCTCGGCGTTCGCAAACAGCACCGCAAGGATCATATTCTTCTCGCTCTGAAATTGAACTGAAGTTTGTTTACCGGCGTCGTTAACTTGATGAGTTTAAAATTACTTACGTGCCCTTAGCAAACAGGGGAGGGTTAATTTGTCTTTTGCTATGGATCAAAGGAACAACGGAGACATTTTAGTTTTGTGAGATCTATTATAAATAATAATGGGTTTATAATATGGTGGGGGAATTGATTTGGTGTTTTGTATTTTATCGTAAATATTGTGGATAATAAGAGTCGTTATCAATTTTTCTTTTATCTAAATAAAAGAAAGGGTGAAAAGAATAAGAAAGATATTTTGAGAATTTTCTTGAGTTCGAGGGTAAGTTACGAAAGGAAAGGTGTTAGCATCTTTTTCATCTGTAATTATCTACGGGCTTTTAATTGCTAGCTCACTTTGAAATGCTTTGTGTTTGTGTAAGTTTGAAAATATTTTTAAAACGCCTTCACGCGACAAATTTTGTAATGATTCTCGTATCATTGAGAACGCATACAAAGTGTTTGTTTTGAAAATATTTGTTGAAAGGAAGTGTTTGGAAAAATGTTTTGAAAATGACAATATAAAGACAGTTTTGTAATGATTCTCATATCGTTTGAGAATGTATACAAAATGTTTATTTTGAAAAGTGTTTTGAAAGTGTGAGGTGTGGAAATGGTTTTGTTTGTGAGCAATCAATTACGAGCAATCTACCTACTCAAAAAGTCTTTATTCTTTTCCTCCTCCTTTAGATAGTGTTATTTTACTATTGGTTGGTAAGGAGTCATATCATTGGATGTGAGGGACAAGTGTGGGTCATCGTACATTCATAGAAGGCAACTTGTAGGATGTTTTAACAATTTTGTCATAAGAGACTAAGATCGTTTACCGAAGGCAACATTGAAGGATCATCGAGGGAGTACGATCTTTTAATCGAGGGTCTTTGCTAAAGCATCCCACATTCGAGGGACATGACTGTTTATATTCGAGACAATAAATGTGGGTTACCATAGAGGTGCATGTGTGCAAAGTGTTTTGATTTCAAGTATTTTTATCTTTAAATTAGGGTTTTGCTAGAGTTGGTTTTAATCTTGTCATGCAAACCCTAATTACTAACAATAATAAGGAAATCGATAAATTGCGGAATTTAAAGGTTCTACATTATTACAACGCTTTGGGAATGAGGGGTACAATTTTGTGAATGAGAGAAAGAAAGCAATAAAGACCTAATTATCTATTACAAACCATTTACATAATAATATGAAATAATAAAATGCGCAAGAATGTAAAAAAGAAAAGAAATTGTCTTTTTATGATATTTTTTTTTATGCACAAAAATATTTAATATTAACCTAATTAAATTAATTAATTATAATTATAAGAGAAGTTAATTAATTTTTAACAAAAACCTAAAATCTAAGTTAATTGAAATTAAGGAGAAAATAAAACCTAAGTCTAATAATTTGTTTATAAAAACAAATTGAGTATTAGTGTTAATTTGGAAAAGAAAATGTTTTATAATGTAAAATAACTAATAAAATTTAATTTAATTAACAAAATAAAACAAAGTGTTAAAAAGGATATTTTTAATTTAATAATTTAAGAAAATATATATTTTTATATTTTTGGTTAAAAATAAATAAATAAATAAAATATAAAAAGTATTAAAAAAATAGTTGGGTCTGGGTGTTAAAAAGTAAAAAAAATGTTAAAAATTAGAAAAAGAGGCACAAATATAAGTTTGTTTGAAATCAGAAATGAAAATAAAAAAGAAAAATGGGCATGTGTTGTTTTAGTAAAAGAGGGGTGAGAAAGCAAAAAAAAAAAAAAGAACGAGGCCCAAGTTAAGGAGTCCAACGCCTGTTTTGGGACTCCATGTGGCTGGCTTATGAGAGTGCATTATGGTCTTACTCATGTGGAGCGCTTGATCTGATTGTCTAATGATCAGACGGTGTGGATGAGAGGACTACCATGCGCGCCATAAATTTGTTGGTATTGAATCTGAAAGAACAAATAATGCAGTTTACAAATAGATAACCGACAATCATAATGGAGTATAAACTATCGTTACTAACTATAATAGTGTTTCTTTCGAATTTGTACTCAAGTCACCTAAAGCACCAAATCTAATCATTTCTAATGAGGTTTACAAATACTTCCAAGATTTCCCTCTCATTCGATTTTGTCGATGAGACACCAACGCTCAACATATTACACGGTCCACATTACACTCACTTAGCCTCACACGAAGGTTAAGTATCCTCCAATTCAAGAATTACTTTCTTCATCTCCGCATCATCAGGAATACAAATTCGATTACTGAATCTCAACACACCCTGCGCATCTGACTTGAAATCATCATTCTCGGACTAATCAAGTCCAACCACCGAATCTACCAATTCCACATCTAACTTCTGAGCTTCTTTGATACTATCCAGAAAATCATTCTTAATCTTCAACATCCCTAACATAACACTCTTCGGTGTCACTTCGCAAACTAAGCTCATATCTCTGAACTGTTCAATCAATTCCAATTCTTTAACCATCATTGCCGACATATGTAAAGTCTTTCGACCTAAAGCATCAGCCACAATATTAGCTTTACCTGGATGATAATTCAAACCGACATCATAATCTTTCAACAACTCCAACCATCTTCGTTGTCTCATATTCAATTCCTTCTGATCAAATAAATACTTCAAATCTAGAACCAAAAAGACAATGTCTCCAAATCTTCAACATAAACGCCACCGCTGCTAACTCTAAGTCACGCGTAGGATAATTCCTCTCATGAACTATGAGTCTTCTAGAAGCACAAGCAATAATTTATCCCTTCAGCATTAGCACACCACTAAGTCCCATTTTAGACGCATTCATAATACACTACAAATGACTCACTCGGATTAGGCAAAACCAATATCGGGGCAGTCGTCAATCTTTTCTTTAGTTCTACAAACTTTCTTCACATCAACATCTCATACTTGAAATGATGAAAGACTATCCCTTTTAATGCCTAACATCTCATTTCTCAACTTATTCTACAACAACATATTATGCTTGACCTCGTCTCGAACAACTGCGATAATAATCATTTATACCCCAAAAGCTTTTAGTTCCGTAAATGACTTCAGAGTTCCTCCATATGGGAATGCATCAACCATATTTGAAAACACTTTCATATGATAGAATATATTTCTATCTCCTCATAGGTTCAAACAGAACGCAAATCCGATACTCGGAACGCAAGATATGAATTTCCAAGGTTATCCGAAAATGAGAACATTGTTGTCATACAACGACATACTATCACACACCTTACGATAACATTAGAACAAAATTTATTTGTGCCAGTACCAACATTTACCATCCTTGAAATCATACTCATCTCCTTGCATTTCTGACTCCGACTCGCGATTCAAAACATTCCAACAACTTCAACAACCTTTACAATCACTCACAAGGATCCCATGACAAGGTCTACAAAAAGCTATCAATCTATCTTCGTTCAAAGATCGACATCTTACGTAAGGGCTACTCAAACCGACAACTTCACCGTCCACCAGCAGCGCTGAAACATCGCAACTTTCTAAATTCCATCTTCTAAAAATTATCATGGTTACTTAACAATCACCTTCAGCAACACCTGGGATTTACACTCTACTCGTATATCAACAACCGTTATATTGCTCCTCATCCTTCGAGAAGCAAACATCAACAATGTCGGATCATCCTCCCTTAAGACGTTCCAACTTGATTAATAAACAAAATCTTGAATCCATGTCATCTTCGGATTCGGGAAATAACAAAACTTCAACAATACTTGCATTATCGCCATCAGTAGCATACTGAACTAACATCTTACAACCGAAACAAATCCGAGAAGCAAAGCTTCTCCCCCACTTATTTTCAAACGAATGCCTGCATATAAGCGATTAGGAAAGCAAGCAAGCACTGATAGTGTTTCACACACTTGTCGCGTACTAAGGAAAAAACAACATTAGACAACTTGATCGGACGAACCGACCTGCTCTGATACCACTAATGTAACACCCAAATTCTACTCGGTGGATAATAATAAAATCAGAGTTCAACATAATTAGGATGCTATATTTTCAACTTAAAATCAAACTTCATTTAATCGCATATAAAACAGATACATAACACTTAATTCGGATGAACCGATAACAACCTGATTTATTCTTAAAAATCAAACAACTTTTATTGATAAGCAGCGAAATCTACATACTCAACTTCAATTCACTTAACATCTTTTATTCAACTAAAACAACCTCAAGACAACAATTATTTCATGTAATCAACTTAAAGTTTCAGCAACTAAAATAATAATCAACAACTAAACATCAAGCGTTCATCCCTCCGAGTGCTACGTATCAGAGCAACGACACCGACTCGAACTAACAAGGTAACAATTATCCTTCTTGATTACCTGCGCGTTACCAACAGAGGGCAACATTCAAACAAAATGGGTGAGATATCGAACAATATAATAAGTCGTATGATAAATAATATATTAAATCAGATCATATAAAATCACCACTTCACAACTTACAAACAACTTTAATCGCAATAAAACATCAACACGACACAACTACTAATTCACAGCTTTTAGATAATACCCATCACAACAAGTCAACAACGTAAGGCAACAACAATTATATCATCACCACAACTCAAGATGCAACATCAAATGTGACTCAATTACAATGCATACGCATATGGTACCATTGGAGCAGAACTCCCAACTTAAAAATGGAGCAGAACTCCCATCTTAAAAATGGAGCAGAACTCCCATCTTAAAAATAAAACAGAACTCCTATCTTAAAAATCTGCCAATAAATAGAGGCATCAACAAGGTATAAGCCTTCTTCGCAGTTTACCAATCCATGCCATCACAGAGTATGCAAATGTATGTGACTCAATGAATGGGTCATCACATACTTACAACAATTATCATTCATCGCAAGGCATAAGCCTACATCTCCATTATTACCAAT